TTGTGTTTAACCGACTGAAATTCATTACTATTTTCTAAGTGGGCTTGAAAGGATGCAAGAGTAATAGACTGAAATTTCATTGCTAGAAGTTCAACGTATAGAGCAGTTCTCTTTGAGAAATCAATATAATAGTTATGTATTAGCAGGAATTTCAGAGGTCACAGTCTATTAGTTCGATGACAGTTTTGCTCTTTAAGTTCTGTTATTTGTATTAACATACTAAAAGACTATCTTCTGACAGTTTGTGAAATGCAAGTGTTCAGATTTTAAACTGTATTAAACAGCTAATTCTTCATCTGTGAATTAAAGAAATAAAGGAAAAAAAATATAAATCTCCCAAGTGATGGTGGCTAAAAGTCAGCCTCATTATATGAGGCCAGTGTATATGGATTTCTCACTGTTGCATTGGATGGTTTTGAATATCCTAAATTATGGTATTTGGTGCCAGGATGGTCCAAGCCCTGTGGGTGGTGGGGTGAGGTGTGGTGTCTGTTGGTTTATGTGAACAACTTTGTCAAATCTGAGACTCCTAAAAAATTAATTTCTTGCTTATAGACCTACCTGTTACACTAAAGCAGAAATTTCCAGGCTCTCTGCATCGCAGATTCGAAATCTTAATCCTGTGTTTGGGGGATCGGGACCAGCTCTGACAGGACTTCGGAATCTAGGGAACACTTGCTACATGAATTCCATATTACAGTGTCTGTGCAATGCACCTCACCTGGCTGAGTATTTCAACAGAAACTTGTATCAAGCTGATATTAACAGGTGACAATCTCTCATCTGCCTTTATACTTGCCAATTCAAGATCACTTAGTGGGGCTGTTTGGTTTTTTAAGTAGGAGGCAAATGGTAACTTTTAGGCACCTTGACATTTTCAAAATTCATGTGTGTCACTAAATAGGTTTTACTGGACAGTGATAATTAAATTATGGTCACCATGTTCATAAAATACATGTGTACTAGAGTCTCTTAAAACTAAACTGAATATTTAAATAGTTAACAAAACATGGTGAAAACAGCTGTACCTTCTGTCCAGAATATGGAACCAAATTACAGGGCTGAAATATATAAAATTTAACTCAGTCTAACAGCCAGTTTTCCTTTGTCTAAAGAAATTATTTTAAAATTGGGATCATGTCTTGAATTAAAAACATTAATACTAAAACCTGGTTATTTGAATGGCTCAGATTGGTTTTGTCTCTTATTTTATAGGTCAAATTTCCTGGGGCATAAAGGTGAAGTGGCTGAAGAGTTTGGTGTAATAATGAAAGCTTTATGGGCAGGACAGTATAAATATATCAGTCCAAAAGACTTCAAAATTACAATTGGGAAGATTAATGACCAATTTTCAGGATACAGCCAACAGGACTCCCAAGAATTGCTTCTCTTTCTAATGGATGGCTTGCATGAAGACCTAAATAAAGTAAGCAATACACTTAAAACAAATTGTATATCTGTTGGATGATCAAGAGAAATAATTTTTTAAAATACTTTCTTATTCCATAAGATAATTATATTACTGCAACCTTGAATAGAATTATTCAGAATTAAGGTAGGAACTCTGAAGTAGTAGGTATAAGGTAGTGGAGGGAGTCACAGAAGAAGCCTCAGTAGACAACAACTGGATGGTACAGTGACATGTTTAAATATTCTTGTGAATATTCAATAATATGTTTGCGTTACAGATGAGACTTCTTACGTATATGTTAATATATTGTTGTGGTATTTAAACTTCTGCTATCCAGGCTGACAACAGGAAAAGATACAAGGAAGAAAATAACGATCACCTTGATGACTCAAGTGCAGCAGAAATAGCCTGGCACAAACACAAACAGCTCAACGAGTCCATCATTGTGGCACTCTTCCAAGGCCAGTTCAAATCCACCGTGCAGTGTCTGACGTGTCACAAGAGGTCCCGAACCTTCGAGGCTTTCATGTATCTGTCACTGCCACTTGCATCCTCCAGCAAATGCACTCTGCAGGTATGGGGACCTGGAGAGAAACAGCTCCAGGAGTGCACATTCCTCTGGCACTTCATTATGATGCTGCTTCTGCTCACCCTCTGCTTGAATGGGTTGGTCAGAATTCTGCTTAGTTTGCATTGACCTGAAACATGAACAGATCTGAATCTGCATTTTTTAAAATTCTTCTAAAGTTTAAAGAAATAGGTTATCCCTTAAATACTGAAGCTGCAATAGCAGCAGGTATATTACTTGCTTTGGTAGGTCACAATGTAAATATTCTGTGTTTTTAAACAAAACATTGTCTGTATATTTTGAAAGACGCTGGTTAATATCTGCAGTAAATCTTGCTTCCACATATAGATTTAAGTCACTTTTCCTCAGTGAGATGTAGGATGCAGATAATTGATGCAAGTTAACAACCAAATGGGAAATAAACACTTTAGTTATATTTCCATAAACACCTACCATTCACAATCTCTCTGTTTTGTTTTAGGAATGCCTTAGATTGTTCTCCAAAGAAGAAAAGCTCACTGATAACAATAGATTTTACTGTAGCCATTGCAAAACTCGAAGGGATTCTTTGAAAAAAATAGAAATTTGGAAATTACCACCTGTTCTTCTTGTGCACTTGAAACGGTAAGGAAATGGTGATTGGTGAATATTAATTAGGATGAAATGATCAGACTTTGATGGAACTGGATTGTTCCACTGCAGTAGATGAGCATTTTTACTTAGAGAAGGTCAGAGATACATTACTAATTGTAATGTTGCAAGAATTTGATTTTCATCTGATGCTTCTTTTATAAGGCCATTTTTATAAGCCTTTTATAAGGCTTTTATAAGGTAATTCCCAAGGCACTTTCACAAGTGACCTCTTGTTATTTTTGCTAAGAAATACTCGAGCAAACGTTAACAGGACTGGGAGCTCCAGTTGAGATCACATCGTAGTTAAATCAGGGAAAACAAACATGCTTAATACAATGGAATAGCTTGTGAACAACCTGCAACTTTTCATTATGCTTTTTAATTCTCTAGATTTTCCTATGATGGAAGATGGAAACAAAAGCTTCAAACTTCAGTAGATTTTCCACTGGAAACTCTTGACCTCTCTCAGTATGTTATTGGTCCAAAGACTTCCTTGAAGAGATACAATCTGTTCTCAGTATCGGTGAGTAACCATGTCATATTTCAAAATCCAGCTGCACTTTATGCCAGGACTCTGGGTGGCCTGTGTGATTCAGCCAGGCTGCATTGTAGTTGCAGACTAAGTTGCATTCTAAAAAGAACAATTTGGATTTAGTAAAAATTTCATGATCTAGATTATTTCCATAACCAGGGAAGAAATGGCAGCTTTGAAGGCCACTAATCCTTGCCTTACGTTCACAGAATCATTACGGTGGGCTGGACGGGGGTCACTACACAGCCTACTGCAAAAATGCTTCAAAACAGCGCTGGTTTAAGTTTGATGACCATGAAGTGTCTGAGATCTCGGCGTCCTCGGTGAAGTCCTCAGCTGCTTACATTCTATTTTATACTTCCTATGAACAGCGAGCAGTAGATATGGCCACGTAAAGGAATGTGGCTTAAGGAAACTGGTTTTCTTTCTTCAAGAGCAGAGTAGGCCTGGGAATGCATATAAATATGCAAAAGTACAGCAGACATAGTCACTGGAGGAGTGGGAGGAGCAGGGCTGCCAGCAGGGCTCACTGGGGCCGTAGCAGTGCTTAACAATCAGAGACTGATGGTAACGCTTGTGGTCATACTGCCATCCGTGAAACCATTTATGAGCATTACTTGCATTACTGTTTATTTTAAAAAGAACTATATTTTTAGTCTGCTCCAAAATTAAATTCTAGCTTAGTCATCTGAAATCTATTAACAAGTAGTTTAAAATGTCTTAAAATCCCAAGGCATATCTTGGTTTAATTTTTTCTTTCACTGTTAATGGCCTTTTCACATTTCTAACCTTAAGCTTGACTCTACTGTGAATACTCTAGAACGATGTAAACAGTTAGGAATGTAAGTGTACATATTGATTGCATACTTGCACATCAGAATTATGTATATAATAAAATGTTGTCCTTTTTGTGAGACTCTCTAAAACTCAGAGGATTGCATTTATTTGCCAGCTCTAAGTAATTGCAACACTACTTAATAAAAAAAGCAGAGCTGTATTATTTTTTCTGTTAGCTTTTGTCAATATTTGTGCACTTCAGAGTTATTCTAAACAAACAAGATTTTCCTTTTTAATTTTTTAATATAAATTTTCATGTACACATGCATTAAAAACCTTAATGAAGAAATTATTTAAAAATATATCCTGTTAAATGTATGTTTGGGTTTGGTTTTTCATTCTCAGTTTGTTATATAATTATCAGAATTGTACATAATAACAGTCTGACTCATACTCACACAGTTAAATGTTCTCCAGATAAAAAAAAAATATTGTTTTGCATAGAGCTGATTAGTTTAAAAACTTATTTTAGTTGCATCTTACATATTTCTCTGCTCTGGATTAGGATTAGTTTTCCTTTTCTGATAAGGTTGGCATTCAAAAGTCTTACATTCTGAGCTTTTACCTGTCTCTGTCTGTCTTGCTGATGGGAATTAAGACCAATATTGATTGTTTTCTGGAAGCTTGCAAGCTGCAAACAAGTTTGAAGTGCTGGAGAAACAAAAATTACATCACTAGAGCAATGTCTCTTTCTTTCTTCTATATTAATGGTCACTCCATCCTCTCTTCTGTAGCACAGTCTGATCTGATTGTGTGCTTTCATTTTGGTATTCTTCTGTTAGTTCCTGAAAAGCAGCTTCGAACAATCTTCTATACTTAACCAACAGAAAACCCAGAATTTCCAGGTAAGTGCATCTGTGTGTTCAACATCCATGTTGTTTTGAGGGGTGCAAGAAGGTTGTCATGGGAAACAACCATCCTCAGCCCTTGTGCAGTGGAGCAGATGCACATTCCTTCATGGCTTGGAGGCTGGAAATGCCCTTTCTAGGAATCACTTCCTGAGAGACCACAACAGCTGATCAGTGGTGTACATGCTCTAGTTTATTGATAAAACAGGAGATGGCTAATGCTACTGGTGAATTCTAGGTGCTGCCCTACTCAGTGTTCATTTTCAAGACTAACAGGTTGTCAGTAGCCTTGGGAGATGTAGAAGAGGAGGTAAGCTGTGTCAGCCTGCACTGCAGAGTCTGGGATCTTGGTGACCTGGTCATCATCAAAGCTGTACCAGTGTTTGGTGATTGAGTGCTTGCAGAAGGCCGTGTAGTGGCCATAATCCAGATCTCCAGCATGGTTCTGTAACAAACAACACAGTCTGTTAAAAGCAGACTCCTGTTCTGTCTCCTTACAGGCAAAGCTAGGAACTGGCAATTGTTTTTTGTGTGCACTTGGAAAAGATGGCACAGAGGGTTCTAGCCCCTTTTGGCCTAAGGCAGGGAATGTTAATTCAAATAAATCTTTCAAACAGCGTAAATGGATGATGATCATGCTTATTTATTTTGCAATTCCATTTGCAACCCAACTGTTAGCCCTGATACAGGTCACTATACGATGGCCCAACTTGTTGTGAGCCATGTCCTTATTTAAAAACAGGACTCATGCAGGATCAGCCTGCAAGTTTACTCTGAAGAGGCATTATGTGCCAGGAGTGCATTCTTTTAAAATTGGGATCTTGGGGAAGAAGGAGAAATAATGTCTCTGTCCTTCAGTTACATACTGTTACTGGATTATGTCCATGGCTGGTAGAAAAAAGTGTACAACACAACATACATTAAATTATAAATCATTATACGTGAAGTCCAAACCAACACAGGCTTCACCTGCTCCATGAGGCAGGGCCTTCCCAATAAAAGCAGGAAGGGCAAAGCTTACCACTACAGCACATAAGCTGTACTCTGTGGTGTTGTGACACGATGTGGAGATGTAGGGAGAGAGATCCAGATGACTGAATGGATAGCAGACAGTGGTTGAGAGTTTCCTTCTGTGCTTGTCCTGCCAGGCAAACCTGAAATGAATTTTTGAATTATTTTAAATGACCCTCAGCTTCTGTTTGCGTTGTGGTCGTTGCTTAACTGACTTTCCTAGGAGGAGGGAAAACCAACAACTGACTACCCAGAATTTGAAAGAAGGATCTCTGTTAATGTTGTGTATTGCAGTAAACCGACAGAAAATGCACTAAACCCACATGAAATGTCCAGCAAGAAAAGCAAAGATCTTGCTTCCTGATCCTTCAGTCAAAGCCTGAAGTCGTATCTTTGCATCACTCTGTGTCCTAAACATTTTGGACTGGACTGCAGTGCCAGCATCAGCTCTTCTCTCGTGCCAGACTTCATCCCTGTTCCCTCTGTAACTTTGAGTACATCACTGCACTTTTAAACATTTGTAGTGTGGCCAAGAGTTGCAGCTGGGGACCACATGTCCTTAGAGAATGTTCAGAAAAGCAGATGCTGAATGGAAAATCAAATAACAACTTCAAATAACAGTTCTGGAAAGCTAAATCATCCCAGAGTAGTTTTGTTTATAGGTGGAAAGTTGTTAAGAAAAAAAAATTCTTTAGAATAAATTCAGCATTTGGCTGAGTGTGGCTAGTGAAATTTGCTAACCCAGTTGCTCCTTTGCTGATGCACTACTCTTTTTAGGCCTGATTTAGTAAAGGGATAAATAAAACCAGAGTGCCTCAACTGTAGTACGAGCAAGCAAAACACTGTGTCAGTCCTGGTTTTGGAACCCAAGCCACAGGAACTGATTCACAAGGATCATACAGAGACTGAATGAGCCACTGCACTGGGCTGTAATCAAGTCACTGCTTGGTGGAGTTCTCTTCCCCCTGGAGAGCAGATCCCAAATATAGGGAGAAATTTGCTGGGCTGCAGGATACAGACAGAACACCATACATGAAATTCAGGAATGCAATTTGCATGTTTGACAGCTGTATTTCTGTAAATGCCCTTTTAGCTTTCAGGTATATAAAGTACTAAACCAACTTATTTGCAGTGATTTGTTTCCTTTCAGTCAAACATAAGTGACTGTCCTTCATGACTCAGATTACCCAGGAACTGGCTATGTTCTGCCCCACTTAGACTATACCTCTTTAGATGAAAAATGATGATCTGTGGTGCCTTGGTTATGGAGGCTTTTACTGTTGCGTCTTGGTTGCTTCCACACCGGTGGCAGCGGATTTGGTTGTTCCAAGTCAGCGTGTCTGGCTGAAAAAAGCATTCCAGGCAGTCCTGTCAGAGGAAAAAAAAACAAATATCACTTGATTGAACAGATCTCCCTCCACCCCTGAAGGTGTAAGAGATTAATTTGCTCCTCCTAACTGAAGTATGATGCAGCAAGGCTGACATTACAAATTCACAAGACAAAGCAGCCAACATTGGCTTCCATTCTCCCCACCAAGGCAGGAAATACTTGGATGACTGGAAGAAACCTTCACAGCTGCTATTAAGTGATCTTAATATCCCTCATCCCCTGGTAACTTGTGAGCATTGCTCCTGTAACCTTACCAGACTCCATGGTTCTGAGACCAGTAAAGACACCCCACTTCTCTAGGGACCAGATCCAAGACTATCCATTACTGCCCAGGAGACCGAAGTAACTAAACCCCTGCATTTTTCCAATAACACCTGTTAGTGTAAGCCTCTGCTCCCAGATGAAGCAGGAACCAGCAGAATGTGTTGGCTGTTGTACCTGCAGAGAGCACACTCTGGTGGAAGGGATGGGCAGGGAGAGGATGGTGAAGCTCTCGGGTCTGTCACTGAGGGTTTTGCACGTCAGACACCTGATCCCGTAACTGAGCTGTCCCTCAAACAAGTGTGTTATAATAGATGTGCCACTGCTACTCCTTGTGCTTGCTCCCGCAGCAGGGCTCTGTCTTTCTTGGCTTGGCTATACAGAAGGAAAAAAATTAACAAAACTTAGATAAACAATTGTTTTCAGAAGTGCCTTCACTGGGTTTTAATAAGTGCTGCCCACTCCCTGGGTTGATCAGTTGTTAGTCTTGCCACAGAACTTGGCTCTAAAATGCTGTTACTTTACTTGATGGTTCATACATGCAGAGTAAGATTGATTCCTTTTCTTAGAGAAAAGTAACAAAAATACAACAATTCAGACATTTGATAGCACTAGTTGCTTGAAAAGCTTTTTATCAGTGGCTCTGGAGGGGAGAAAGACACTGGGGGATGGCAGATGTGAAGTTTTCAGGCAGATGAGAAAGTGGAAGAACACTAACTGTGGAAGGAGCAAGGAGAGGGAGAGGTTAGGACAGTGAAGCTACACCAGCATTGTCATTTAGATGGGGGCTGCAGTTTGATGGAGCATTAGACAAGAAGCAAATTAATACTTGGGTGTGCATGGGTATGAAATAAAGGTAGAAAAGGAAAGTTATTAGTGGCCCCATCACAGAATTCAGAAGATGAAAGGCAATTACTATATGGAATGCTAAGTCATGAAATGCAGAGGAAACAGCTGTAGTTCCCAAAACACCACAGCTGGGCTCTCACCTCCTTGAAAGCCTCGTGGAGATCATCCAGCACACAGATGAGGAACTCCTGTGCATCATGCTGAGTCCTCCTGCTAAAAGCTGGGTACCGCTTCCCAAAGACAGAATGAAAAGCCTCAGGGGAGACATAGTCAAACTTTCCAAGCCACATGTCGGACACCAAACAGCCAAAGGCAGTCGCAGACTCTCCAATCTCCCTTGGAAAAAAGGGGAGAGTTTCAAGTGATGTATGAAAAAAAAGTGTTGCCTTCAAGTGGGAGCACAGTACAGAAATTTAGAAAACAGATGCTGGTACAGTACAGCTGTCACTTGGGTTGAGGGACTCTGCAGATCCCAGAAAGTGGTAGGAATCTTCATCAAGACAGCAGTAACGAGTATTTCCATCAAGATGGGAAGAAAAGTATAATGCAGAAGGACCAGCAAGGAAACAAGCTGGGCTCTCAAAGGAGAAAGAAACTAGCTGGTGGCCAATCTGACTGGAACTGCCTTAGGGAAGCTAGCAGGTGCCTTGGACATTCTCATGGCAACGTGTATCCTTTGGTAGGGAAACAGTGCCAAGCAGAAAGCCCTTTGTGAAGAAACCAACTCACTGGTGCAGGTCTGTGTTCCACTTCCCTGAGAGGAAATACTGCACGAGCGGGGTCAGGCTGCAGAGGCACTGCAGCACCGCGTTCATGTAGCACGTGTTCTCCAGGTTCTGCAGCCCCGTCAGTCCTGGGTGCAGGCTGCTCGTGTCCTCCAGCTGTTCCTTGAAGGAATACTTCCATTTCCATGCCATCCTTCCACCTACTACGAAAAAAATCCACAACAGTGGAAATCTAAAATGCTGCGGTTTCTTATTTAAAGATTACATTCACATTTATTTTCACCGGGTTTATAGGTGTGAAGACTCTTTCCCACTAAGCTCTTCCTAATATGGTAAGATATTATGAGGTATTATTTAAACACCTGAAGTTTTAGAGTTATTCCTAAAATTCCATTCAGTCTTTTACTCCATACAGAGTTATTAAAAAACTACAACCACTTGTGAACAGCCATCTTTAGGGCAAAATACTTAAGAGTGAATATTACATTATAATTCATTTCCTCAGGTACAGTACTCACCTATTTCCTAAAACCATATGTTGCAGTTCAGATGCTATTATAAACAGGTTGTTCAGATTTTTGCTATAAAATGTTACTTCATTCATGTTAGGAAAATTTTAGTAGGTTTGTTTTCTGGCTGCATAAGTCTGTCCTGGACCAAAGTGTCCCCATCCCCAATCAGACAGTTGAGATGCTGAACACAGACCCTACACCACCCACCGATGTTGCTGATCTTTTTTGGAGGCTGATGTTCTATTCTGAGGCAGGGCAGAGAATTCTAAAACCACAGCAACCCCTGTAGAGCAAAGACGAGCAGTGCCCCTTGTGTTCAGTCCCGTGTTCCATCCTGTCACCCCAGCTCCCCCTGTCCTGCCCCTTGTGATGTCACCTGGTAACACTGGCCAGGGAACACAGACCTGGCCAGACCTGCCTCCATCTCCTTCCATGTGCCAGCCAGAACAGGAAACTTTGGGAAGAGAGGGGCACGCACCCATTCCACTGAGCAGGGAGCTGTGGCCCCACACACCTTTATCCATGTTTGCTCATTTGGATTAGGATTTATGATTGCCATGCTCTGCTGGAAGGGCAGTGATGACCGAGGGTGTTGACCATAAATGGATGGAGCTACCTCAAAACATCATACTGAATTAGTTTCTTGGTGTTCTGAAGATTTTCCTGAGGGAAAGAAAAAAGGTATGGCAGATGGCTTTTAATTAGCTATGCTAATGCAGTTCATCTCTAAATTCCATATGCCACTGAAGAGCAGCAGTTTTTCCCTATTTAACAGACAACTTGGAAAGTAGCAAGTACCCAGAGAAGAGGGCAATGAAGTGATGTAAAAAACCTAATCATCTTACTTGTTAAACTTCAAGCAAAGGATGTCTCTGGCACTCCTGGGACAGCTGTCACTGATACTGACCCCTCAAAATCTGGTCTTGTTCTGTAAATGGAACTGGATATGTTTATTTCCCACTGAATCAAGACTTTGACTTAGTATTTTGATATAACATGATACACAAATTCACATGGGTGCTACCAACTGCAAGCTCTGGGGCTGAGAATTAACTTCCCATTACTCTTACCACAAAGTAGATTATTGCAAGGAAAAGTGTTAATCGAGAAATGAAACATTAAAACATAATTACTTTTTTCAGAGGCCTTGTTACATATTAAAAAGTCCTATTTTTTCCCAACTGGTCTTTTTGGAACATTTAATATGAACAAGTCTCCAGCTGTAGTCTTTTTCCCTCTCCAAATTCCTGCAGTGTTAAAGAGTTATAGCATTAAGTGAGATGCAACCTCAAAGATTTAACACGTAGGAAGTTACTGTCAGGCTTGAAAACCAAACCCCTCCTTTTCCAAATCACAAGGCTGCTGAGCAGCAGCTAAAAACCAGCTCCCCAGGAGCCAGTTGTATATATTTTGCCACAATGCATTTGGGACTGGTTTTCTCTGAAATGTTTCACCACCTAAATACTACAAGAAATCAGTCAACAATTACTTTGGTGGATTAATTAAAAGTCCAAATTATGTAGCTTAATTATTTCCTATATGACAAATACTATTTTAAATACCATCCTAGTAGAAAATTAACTGAAGCATTTCAGATTTTGACTAAAAAATAATTAGAGAGGGTATGAATTATATTCCTATTTAAAAGCTAGGCTCTAAGAAGATATGCCAATACTTTAGTTCTTGAATAGTTATCAGAAGTTCCAGTTCCATCACTTTCCTCCTTTTTGGTAAAGGAAATTTAAAAGCTAAAAGATCACAACTCCTCCCTATTTATAGAGCATTTCAAGACTGATGAGGTTTCAGCAGAGAAGTGACACTTGCTGTTCTCAAACAAATTGAATTTCATGGAATAGTTTTCCTGTTCCTTACTGCCCAACATCAGCAGGATGTGGCACTGTCCAAACAAGAGTCAGGCTTCTTTTTCAAGCCAACTTGTTTTTGTCCTTTGCCACCACACTTTTCCAATTCCTTCCCTAAAGGGTACTTAACACGTATGATTTTTTTTTCCTTCAAGTATGAGGCAGACCACTTCTGAAACTTACACATTTCTCCCCCCTCAGTTTAGACATACACTTCTCATGTAATTCAAGCTGTAAGTCACACAGAGTAAGCTACTGCTTATGCTAGGCAGATGTACAGAAATATGAACAGTGGTAACCACTCCAAATCTTACAGGCATTTCCCAACCACATTTTTCCCTTTTGGTCTTGAAAAAGTTCAGAGCCTGAGTCACTCCAAGACTGAGCAGGAGCACTCCCCTTGATCACTCACACCCATCACAAGGTGGTCACATCTGTTTATTTTGCTAAGAAATGAGTCACAAGCAGAACTGCTGAAGAGCAGTAGCACAGCTAAAAAATAACTGCCTAGTTAAGTATTTGTCAAGAAACAAAGTTTCCCAGCTTTAACTTACAATCTTCTCAGAATCTTTTTCTTCTTTCATACACTGAAATTTGGTCACATTTTCAATACACCAGAGACTCCTGTATAAATCTCTCAATTTGCAGAGCCAATCACACTTACAGACTCAGTACTGCTGTTACTTGGCATTAGAAAGGTGCAAGTACATCTCAAATATCTGCCCATTCCCTCCCAGCAACAGGAGGTGATGCAGTCGGGCATCTCTAAGAAGCAGCTCCTAATTAAATATTGTGAAGAGCTATTTTTTGACTTGTTTACTCATTAATCCCCTCACATGTGTTTAGCAACTATGACAGTTCTCACTTTTTTACCTCCCTAGTTTCTGGTGTTGGCCAAAGTTGTGATACCTCAAAGGCTAACAGCTACTCCAATCCAGCATAGCAAATTCTACTTTTCTGCATAAAGAGTTACTTAAATGCACCAAAATAACCTTTCAGACTGAGACAAGAGCAGAAGTCTGTAAACAAGAATAAATTTATTTTAGATTCTTTAAAGATTTAATGATATACAAAATGTATACAGTATTATATCCTTATAACATTTTACCTTTCCCCATCAAACATAAACACCATTTAAACAACTATTGTGTTCGTGCCTTAGGTCTGTATCTATAAGATACACTACTGAATAAAAAATTTATAGAGCTATATACTGCCCTTTTAATTAAAAATTACAAATTAGTACCTATGTAACAAAAAAAAATCGCAGCATGAAACTTCAGTTGGACAACAGGTTCTTTTCTTGCTGAATGCTCAACAATATTTGGGACAGTTAAATTACATTTTATTGGCATGAAGGTGCATTGCAATCTCCCATACTTTACACAATACTAATCCAACCCTAGTCTCTCTTAAGTAAGTACCACAAATAACATAACATTAAAGATGTTTCCTACACGATTTTAAATACATTTACAAGTTATGTGTACATTCGGTTTCGATATACTGGTTTAGGAGATCTTTGGAAGGCGGAACTTCTGAAGCAGTCACTACGTACGTACAAGGGAAAGCACTTCCAACTTGTGTTCTTAACAAGGCAACTTATTTGGACCAGCACAAACTAATTCTTCTATTAAATATAATTATACCAGTCTATCATGGCTTTGTTACTATTTGACAGTGACTTGATAAAATTGAAATGTGTAAAACAAGAAATTTCATTATGCACAATTCAGGCTCTATTTCACAAAACAAAAACAACCAAGCCCAGTTTTACAGTCATGAAGCGGAAAGAATCCTGATTCAGGAGACCCTCTCTCTCTTTCGGAACAGATCAAGTTCCTACCTTCAACTTCAGTCTATTGGCATCCTACGTACACCTCATTTGGCTCTGTCCTCTTCAAAAGGCTAGATTAAAAGACACCTGGTGAGAAAATATTAGTGGCACACTTCCGAAAACACTCTAAGAATACTCTGGCATTACAGAGGTAGGTGCTTTCTCCTGGTTTTGCTCATTGACAGTAAGACAAATGCCAAAAAGACAAATGCTCTACCTTAAAACATCAACTACCAAAATCCTTTTGGTGGAAGGCATATTTCCCACCACAGGACTACAGGAAGAAAATCCTCCACTAAACAAAAGTAAAATAAAAAATAAAACTTTCTTCTTAAAAAGCCCCTTTAAAAACACATCTTAAATACTTGTCATTATTCCACCTGTAGAATGATCAGCTGCCACGCTGCTCTGTATATGGTTTTCACAAGTCGTAAAATCATTAGATCATGGACCAGCCAAAATTCCACTTATAAGACAGTAATCCTTGTTTTGACAAGTCTTTCTTTTCATTATAATGAGGGAAAGGTAAGTGACAACTTTGTGAGGTTCCACGAAGTTTGAACAAGCCACTAAGCCACTAAGATGGTCACATCATCAGAGCATCAGACGAATCGAATTGGCCGGATCAGAATCTTTGGTGCAGCTTCCAGGCTGAATTGTCAATTCAGGGGCATCGTCCTGAGGAAATATCATCTTGTCAGGTGTGTAGTCATTCCTCTTCAGATCTGTACAAACAGAACAAAGTCATAATGATTACCATTTATTGAGCTAGTAGAATCAGTGGGGCATAAACATCTAGCAAAGAATTGGATATGCAAATGCACTTATCAAGATTAATTCCAGGATAAGCACTGTCAAAACAGGGATGTTTTTATCAGAGGTGCAATCAGAAGCCCAAAGTCAAATTACAAAATTGCACTTTCAGAGCATGCCTTGACTACTTCATTAGGTACCATACAACATGTCATTACATCAGTGGCTCAGAAGGAGGGTCCTGGAGCTCTTACCAGGAAGTTTCAGTTTCCTGCAGCAGGAATTACAGTGGTGCTTTGCTCTGAAGTTTTTTATTGCATCCTCTCCCAGATTGGCCGGACCGAACACCATATCGTATGACCTTAGAAACAAAGTGCACATAAACATCACTTGGACGTGTTCTCTTTCCAGTGAAAATTTTATAATACTGTAGGTCTTTCTTTACCCTTACCTTTTTTCCCCAGCTTTTATCACAGAGGGATCTGTCAAATTTTCACCAACACCTTCAGACAGCACATGAAGAAAAAATTAAATCTCATACACTTCTGATTACATAAACATATTAATATTAAAAAGCCTTCGAATCCTTAGCTATGACTTCTCAGCTTTTCCAAGAATAAAACCAGAAAAAAACCCACAACAAACACAACCCAAAGTACACAATTCTCTACCCTTATAAAATTGCTTTTGCTTCTAAGCAAGCACTTTGTACTTCTCAGATTTCTTCCATCTATTTTTTGCATTTCCTAGCTTGAGTTTTCACCCATGAGAAAAATCTCCTATACAGTTCTCACTGCCAGAATATCTGGCACAGAGTTCAGGATAAAACCAGCTTACCACATTGGCACTACACAGATGTGCCAAAAATAGCATTTTTAATTCCTCATTTCATTAGGAAAAGATATATATATTTATATTGTGTGTTGCTGTAAGATTTAATACCATATTAGAACTAACAACTGGTGAAGGGTCTGGAGCACAGGTCCTGTGAGGAGCAGCTGAGGGAGCTGGGGGTGTTTCTCCTGGGGAAGAGAAGGCTCAGGAGAGACCTCATCCCTGTCTAGAACTACTGGCAAGGACACTGCAGCCAGGTGGCGGGTGGTCCCCAGCAGTAGGACAAAAAAATGGCCTGAAGTTGCACATGGGGAAGTTTAGGTTGGATATGAGGCAAAATATATTCACTGAAAAGGTTGCCAAGCACTAGAGCAGCTGCCCAGGGAAGTGGTGCAGTCACCATCCCTGCAGGGATTGAAAAGCTGTTTAGGGGCATCCCCTGGGCACATGGAGTGTGTTGGACTTGGCAGTGCTGGGTAAAGTTGGACTCAATGATCTTAGAGGTCCTTCCCAGTCTTTACCATATGATTAAATAACAAAATCACATGTCCTAACTAACTAGAAGAAGAAGCACTAAATAATGCTTGTTGTTTATTACAAATGCACAAATTCTTAACAAAATGCTATCAAAAGAAAAACCCACATAGACCTTGGCCCCAATCCAAGTTTCAAAGTCAGGGCATTACCTTGCAGATCTAATACCAACAGTTCTCCTCTTGTATACTCATATGTCCAGTGGCTGAAAGCCAGCATAACCTCCTCCAGCATGTTAGTTGGAATTATTTCATCACCATTATTGTTATTATATTTTCTAAACTCTCCAGTCATGCACTCTTCAACTGCAAACCACTGGCCAGCAGAGTGGCAATATAACAGGAAAACTTCCAAGAACCTAGTAAAAAATACACTTAATTAATATAATAATAATTAAAATAGAGAGCTATCATTACTATTACATTTTTATTTGATTTACTAATAATTTTAATATTTTAAAACTATTATACAAAGCCATTATCACACTAGATTAGAATCAGTGCAGAAAATACCAGTGGAAAATACTGCCAAGGACAATTCTGCTTGCCACATTCACAGCAATATTCCAAGACATATCCTCATATGACTATATGCTCATACATACACATATGAGTATCTCAATATATTTGATGCATCTGTTAACAACCTGCAGGCATTCCCCTGAGCCAAAAGCATGCAGTATAATGGCAGTTTAAATACACTCACCTTGGAGAGTATGGGATGGATTTGGGCTTCATCTGGTTGAATGCAAAGGTGAGTTTCTGTGCTGCTCTCTGCTGCTGAATTTCCTGTGAGTCAAACCCACACCTCATTAGCTGCTTAACAGAACAGGGAACAGCAGAGAGCCAAGCAGGCAGTGGGAACAGTGTCTATTCCCCCAAGACAGGGTAACAGATGACTTGCTTTTTAAATTATATCTATATTTTAAGAATTTGAGCTCTTTGTTTAGATAAGCCATCCTGGAACAGAGTTTTTAACCCTTTTGCCCATACAGAACCCCAGACTAACTTTTTTTCCTATTCTAGTAAGTATATCCTAGTACACAGGTGGGAATTTAATTCCTGTTTAACATATAATGCCTGTCCATGTTTAATAATTGACAAAGATAGAACTTACTCTCAAGCACAAATGCAACACAGTATCCTCCTTATAAATGCTTGACCAAGTATTCACAACTTCAGGAAGAAAGGACTTGATGATATAAAGATGTCCTGATTTCAGGATATCATATTCTGACCACGTGCATACAACTTTGAGAGCTCGACGTAAACCTCCTCCCATCTCCTCTTTACTTAAAAATTCAATTTTAGCACAGAGCCCCAGCTGTGACCAGGAGGACATGCTGTTGTTCAGGATGCTGGGAGAACTTTCTTCAAGGCGATACACAGTGACTGGTTCACCTGCAGAGCAGCACAAGAGCAATCACCCAACTGAATTTTCCAAGTTTGAAATAAAAAACACTGAAAACACACAATTTCTTACAACAACATGCAGTTTTAACTCATTACAAACATCTTGAATTAACAAAAAATTTAAACTGCCCAGTGGGATGACACCTCTGCAGCTTTTTTCACAGAGCTGCAAAATTTGTCTTCCTATTTAGACCTATTAATGACACTGTTCAAACAGCACTAAGAACACTGAATAAATGTTTGTTTACAGTTTAAACAAGTGAAGACAACTTAAAGGAGTCCTTCCAGAATAGTTTGTTATAAAACTGTTAGTACAATACTACCATCACTGTAACACCATTTCTAAGGACAACTATAATTAAATCTACATTTCATAATCAAGTGAGTTGCCCTAGAAAAGGTGTCGTACTCACATATATTTCTGAGTGTTCTAACACAGACTTCTTTTAGTTCATTTAGACTTCAGTTTCACACTTGCTGTGAGAAACTGTGAACTTTGTCTTGATCCTTCTATATGAGAAGGATCAAACCAAATTAGAATCCATATAAGGTTTGCTTTTCTTCCCCTAAAGGCAACAGAGAAGCAGCAACAAGAAATACAATTCTTACCTCTTGGAGGCACAGGAGTGAATGGAATGCTCTGTGATAATCTCATCAGGTTATTTCTTTCTACAGCTAGAGGAAAATTACAGCATTTGTTGAAGCTTAAGGGTCTTATAAATGTCAATAAAAAAATAAGCATTAGTTCACAAGAGGGACTGACCTGAGTAATAGTAATTGATATCCATGATGGGCTTGAAAGGAGAAGCAATACCTGAAAAGAGATTAAGGAGAAAAAAGAAGAAAAAAAGAGATACTCTAAGCTACTAATTTATGTACTAAAATACCACACACTAAGATCCACTGCCAAATACAACAGTTTGAAAAGGATCTGCTGTGAAGATAATTAAATATTGCACTTAAGTCTTTAGTACCTCAGGGAAAAACATTGTAGAGCTTAATGATTAGTTGTTTATTTAAAAGATTTTTAAAATATTTTTAAGTCACAGTGTTGTGTGTCCAGTAAGTTCCAAATTGCCATCAATTAAATAAATTCCCATACAAGACCCAAGCAGTTGGTTATATACAAAAATCTCTCACCTCCAGAGCAGAAAGAAAACTTACCATTTAATGCATCTTCTTCTGATGGCCTGTCAAATGCCACAAAAACAACAGTCACCTTCAAAACTTACTCTGTTATTCCCTGATTTTGACACATCATCCTAGGTCACTTTGTTAACCTCACAGTACCACTTTTAGTCTGTTATCCTATTTTTCAAGGGCAGTACAGGCTTCTTAATTACAAAATACTAATGGAAAGCTGTTAAGTAATCTCATGTTTTTAGAGCTACGCTTTAAATACCTCCAAGTCATGCACAACATTATGTAAAGTTTGCATCACAAGAGCTCGTTCCCACAGAGGTGCTTTAATTAAAACTTGTTCACAACAGCTTAGCCTTCTGTTATCAGATAAATAAGGTAATGGCTTTAACAGTTAGCTCAGGGGGTAATTGCTAACAAGAGCAATGTCTGCATAATTTCAGAGGTGGTTACAGTTTGAAAGGCTGGGTAAAGACCTTTACCACTATGTGTCAACACATTTTCATGTTTTGCCCTCCAACGTGTGACACCATTAATCTAAACAGAACCTATTAAAGCACGATGAGAGCTCAACCTGACCCACCATGAGCACCCACATCCAGGGAGCCACCCCAGTCCTGGCTGCATCCCAGGAGGAGTGACCACAGGCTGAGGGGTGATTCTGCAAGAGACCCCAGCTAAATACCACTATAGCCAAAGGCAATCAAAAATAAAAACAGATCAAAATACAGAGCAATAAACTCGCTCCATTAATAGAAAACTTACTTACATTTGACTGCTATTTGAAGGTCTGCCTTGTAGCCAATCCTTTAAAACAAACGAGATGGAAAACAAAGAGGGCTTCAGTTTTGTAAGGAAAGCACAGTTTATTCAGTTGGAGGTGGGGTGGTAACATGCTTTAAGCTCTTGGAGTACAGTCTGTTTATTGGAAATAAACCAGGCTGTACTGAACTGCAGTTGAATGGAGAGACTCAAATACCACTGAGAAATGGTAACTACAATTAAAAGAATAAATAAGGGTCTATATTCACTACTGTTTATGGATTATAAAAGTAATTCTTTTCCTTAAAAGAAAAGAATTTTTACTTTATTTCTACAAACAGGAAACAGCACAGATTTTCATAGTGAGAACATACACAAATTCTTCCCTTAGTGAAAACAGGTCTCCTGTTGCCTCCTAGAACAAGCAAGTCCACAAATCAGTATTACTCTGTATCTGTTTATTCTCCTTTATTTGTTCAGCTTCCAGTTCTGCTCAAGAATGTCACAAAAGGTTGATACAAACCGTGAGCAAGGCTGCTTTAGAGTCGACTTGCTGCGTGTCTTCACTTGATGCTCTCCTGCTCTTGCTGTACACTACAAATGAAGGAGATTTGTAACTGGATAAAGAATGGCAGCTGTCACTGTCACCTGTTTCCTAATAGTGAACAAACAGACAGCTTAACATAGCTCTCATGAAACAAGCCTGACCCACAACTTTAAAAGAAGTTTGCAGTCCTAACCAGACCACTTCACTTTTTACAACTCTGGTTGTCTGTGGCAAATCCAAGGTAACAAAACTGACCTGGCATGGCTAAAAGAACCACAAGATTCAAGTACCACCAAACATGAAAATATTTCAAGATTATTTAACCATTTGTGTTTCCTTTGCATCTTCTTAGGATACCCACTAGCAAGGCAAGTCAAAGACAACATTAGGACACCTGAACAGGGCCCAGACTCACGCTGCTCTGAGTGGGCTGTCAGAGGGTCAGTGAACCCACCACAAGAACTGGATTGTTGTAGATCACTGTCAGTTTGAAGAGCCTACCAAAAAAAAAAATTACATTTACCATCAGTTATCATTACCATTACTGCTTTCAACTACTACTCTTGGAACACAATCTGCTCAGTTTTTCATTTTAGGACTGGCCAGGACTCTTCAAAATTTCTGGATGTACTTCAAATACCTCACTGCATTGAAATGTACAAGTTGAGTGCATTAATTTAATTGTGCATGCACAATTAAAATGCTCTACTCACAGTAGCCACCAGCTGTAACATTTTCAGGCAAACATTAAGACTCCTGACCCACGGGAATGTTACAATAGGATTACACTGGATCCCACAAGCACCATGTTCAGCTCATCTATTTCATGCCTTTGTTGGCTATCAGTTTTTATATAAGAATGTGGGTCTGGCAGAAGATAAATTTCAATTTGCATCCACTTAAAATAGCAACAAAATGTAGTAAACTCCTGTCATGTAAAAATCTATGGGTTATGACAGCAATTTCCTTATGGACATACTCCTTCAAAGCAATTATGCATTGTTGGAATATGAACTGAGGTGGTCAACTTTTGACAACAAAATATTTCTTTTGTAAAAAAGGAGAAAGGTGGTTTCATCACAAACTGGGACTATGTGTAGAGTGGAATAGGGCTTACTTATTTACTCTAGTGGTTACCTGAATAAAATGCAAAAATTCATTGTGACCTGCCTTTGATTCCTAAAATTGTTACAGTTAGGAAGTTGTTACCACCCTTTTTCACCCTTCCCTCTTACAGAATACACCCCAGACACATAAATATACACAGGCCTGTGTGTGTGTCCAAAATGTCTATCTGATGTGTGGGTGTGTGCATAAAAACTATTTCTTTACATCCCCAAACACTAGAATGTTTTAGACCTAGGTCAAGGAGACAGCCAGTTTACAGATAATGAGATAAGAACAGAGACCCAGGTCTTTACTGAAAAGAATACTTTTAGTAACTTTTGAAAATAACATTCCTAATAAATGAAAACTTTCTTTACTTACTTGAAGTCTGGTTGTCTCTATACCCTCCAATATAGCTTTTTTGAAGTCTTCCTGCTGCTCCTATCAAAGAAACAAAGTAAATTGTTGACAATAACACCAAAAAAAACTGTGTCAAAAATACATACAAAAAGCTTTTTGGTCACACATTATACTCATCAAAAGTTTCAGAACATGCAACTCAGCAGAACAGAAGCATTGCAAATGGTCATAATGCAATTCTGAAGTGTATTCACCCCTGAATGCATGATAACTGCAAACAGTAATTTGCATGTGCTAATTCAACAGCTACATGGCAAAAACTAGTATTCATATACATAAATACATACACTCGCATATACACACACTAAAATACTTGGCAGGCAGGTTTATGATTAATCACTTTTTAATTTTAGTAATTTTTATTATTCTCTAAGGAAATTTCTTTAAAGAAATTGAAATTATTCATTTTACTTTATGACAAGTTTATTAAAAAGCTTTTTCTTCTTGGAAGCATAATGAACAATTTTTGTCACTTTTGAAAATGATACATACTGTCATCTTGATCTATAAATTATAATGCAAATTACCCTCGTCTTCCTAAAGGCTGATCATGAAATTTATAAGTGTAAAATATTTAGTTTAACACTGATTATGGGATACTTAATTTGATCTCGATTCACAGTTGTAGTCATCTTAGCTTTCATAACCTCAGAGCTTGTTTATTTCATTAGTATCCTATTATGAAGCAACAGGACTTGATGGCAGTTAAGGTTACATGAGTTTTCACCGGATTTTTTTTTTAAATTATGAAACAGATGTAAAGTGCAGTCTGCAGGAATGTGTAAGTTTTTGTATTATATTTGGTCTTAGACTTTTTCCAAACATACTGTGAG